TATATTACTTTATTTTTTGCTATCTTTGAGCATTAATTAAGGTGGGACCTAAGCGTTATTTTTAACGTTTCTAAATGGGTTCATGTTTAATGCCGTATAGTGAATAAATTCATGTATTTAGTTGCTCAAAACCATTTCCGGATGAATGAGAATTCAACACACATTTTCGAGTTCATGAAACTAGTTTTTGCTGGGTTTCCTACACATTTGTGAAATGTACTTGTCCTACATTGGAAAGACTTGAGGAATTGTTTGGATTTATAAACCTTAGCATTGGATACTTGGGATGGACTCCGAGGGGTACCCAAGTTTGTGGAAGGGTGAGGTTATGAGTGTAGTGGGCTAGTCCCATTAGACCCAAAATTAAAATCGCGCGCGTCGTTCGTCCGGTCGGTTGGTCAGGCCGAGCTTGGGCTTGTCCGACCCAATATTTATCTTTTTGGGCCAAAATCATTTGCATTTTATTTATTTAATTTTGAATTTCGATTTCAAAATTCAAATTAATTCTGGTCCATTTTTTTTTCCCCTCACCCAAACAGGTCTGAACAGGTTTCATACCTGTTGGTTTCCACCCGAACAAGTTTGAACCTGTTGAATCTTTTCTTGAACAGATCTGGAACTGTCCAAACAGTTCAAACAAATTTTCTATCTGTTGAAATCTGTCCGAACAGTTGCCTATATGTTGGCACCTGTTCGAACAGCCATCTTTCTGCCTATAAAAGGCCAGCCTTCCAGCAATTCAGAACATTCAATTTTTCCCTTTGATTTTCTTCTCTCATCTCCTCTTTTTGTCTTTTTTTTTTGCATTTATTCTGCATTTAATATTAGGAAGAGAAAGAAAGAGTTTCAGCAAAGTTTGGTTCGGCAGACTTAAATTTGTAGTGCTGCAAATTTAAGTGTTAGTTGTTGCATCCTGAGAAGTAGACGCTAGTAAAACTCGAAGCACCGGAGCGGGGCCAAACTATACTTTAAGGAGATTGTATCCAACACAAGTCTCGACATTAATTACTGTAAGCTTTTAATTCGGGAAATAATTTTTATAATTATTTTTTGAATTATTTTATTTTATTGTTTATTTAATTTATACATTTAATTTACATACATACACCTTTGTGGGTTATAACATGTATGGTTGGTGTGAGTTCACTATTCCCCATTACAAAATATCTCACAAAGCCTCTTTTTGTTTCTATGCAAAAAAATATTTTCCTTATATACCCATAATGGCCTTGCCCAAAAGAACTCCTAGATCTCTTGCAATCACTTCTTCAACTAGCATGCCTACATTGTGGAGTTTATGTCTAGAATGAATCTGAATCACATATTACTATTCCTGAATAATTTTTTTTTAAGTTTGTAGTATTACTCTTATTAGTTGTCTAAATTCATCAACCTATGGTAAGCACACTGAAATTTCTAGCCTGTCCAAGAGCATCATTAGCATCTCTTATATCAATGGTGAAATTTGAGATCGCAGTAAGGACCACAATTTGTTTGATAATCGGGTATTTTTGTATCACAATTCTGATTTAGAGTACTAAATTTGAAACTCTAAAAAGACCATTAATGAGGTAGCAGTGTAAAGAAGAAAAAAAAGAGCCAAACTATCACATCAATGATAGGCTTCACATGATGCCACGTCATTAGTGGTGCATTAGTTGTGCTAAATTAGTGGTACGAAGCATTTTTCTTTTGCATCATGACAACGAGTCGGTTTTTTCATTTTCATTTTTATTATATATTTTTTATTTTAATAATCATGTATCCAGATAAAATCCAACTTTTCCTAATTGTAGGGGTTAATCAAATTAATGATAACAATCTATGAATTATAAAAAATAATAAAGGACTTATGTGTAGGTCCTAATAGATGGATTTATTATCTAATAAGTCTTATAATAATTAATGACGTTTTTTTATCAAATATTATTAAAAAACGTCACTAATTGTTAATTTTAAGTGACAGTTTAAAAAAAATTATCACAAAAGTCATTATTTTTTAATTTTCATTGATAATTTGAAAAATTTGTTACAAAAAAGTTACTAATTGTTAGCTAAAAATCGCGACAACAAAAAGTCACTAATCATCAATTATAACGACGTATGCAAAAAATGGTCAAAAAAATTATTTTTAGTGATAATTTTATTAAGACTTATTTTTAATACGATTTGATAAGATTTAAATTTAACTATTAAACCTTATTGATAATTTACCCAATATCTCTATAGTGATGGCCGCAAAAAAAATGTTGTAGGTGAAGCATCTTTATAAGCTACAATTGACTAGTCGGCATGATCAACAGTATGTGTGTGTGACAATATTTGATGCTTCAACTTCAACACCACTACCACCTCAAACGTAAATACTTTGAAAACGTCTGGTGCCAAATTTTCTTTTCTAGATAGCATACGGTTACGTGGCTCCTCACCATTGGGTGTCCTCTCTCTCACCTTCCCAATCCAGATAATATCCCATCCAACACAATACAACACAACACAAACCACCCTCTGTTTGACACACATTCATCCACACAAACTACCCAAGTGTGTGTTTTTGATCTACAACTCAAAACACACAATGACCTCTTGACCCTGTTTTTCTTTCTCTCTTCTCATCCAATTTCATGGCTCCAACTCTCTCCTCCAACTCATTCCTCCTAACCACCACACCCTCTTCAAGGCTAACCCCAAGGAACCCACGGCTCACTGTTTTAGCAGCCAAGAGTTCCGGGCCTGGACCCGGATCCTTCCTGCCTTTCCGGCTCGGAAAACAGGCTGCCGAAGAAAGCAGCCAAGAAGATGATAAACAGAATTCCAATCCATTTTCATTCAATTTTGGCAACGCGTCGGATATAAAGTCACTGATCCCAATTGTTGCTAACCCGGCTTCTTCGGGCTTGGCTTTTGGGAGCCCGAGACGCAAAGACCCTCGCACGGTGTTTGTCGCTGGAGCGACCGGGCAGGCTGGGATTCGCATTGCCCAACAAATCCCAAGCCTAAGAACTGTAAAGATCAAGATCGAAGGCACAGATCTGGGACAGATACGAAAAACAGAAAACAAAGACGGAGTTTCAGAATCAAGAACAGTGGCAAGAAAAGTGTTGAAACAGTGCAAATGTTCAAAATATAAGAGAAAGAAATCGAGCAACAAAGCAGTAATGGTAAAAACACAGAAAAAGATTGGGAGTAAAGGGAACAGGGCCTTACCAGAACAAATGAAGTCGGAAAGAACGACGCCGAGAAATGGTAACGATTGCAGGCACGACGAAACAGAGGAAACTTCGCTAAGGTGAAGGGAAAAAATCGCAGAACTTCGAGTTAGAACAATGGTGGATTTCAGAAAGTTTAGAGAGAGAGAATGCAAGAAATCAGAATGCAAAAAGTGAAGGGAGAAAGAGGCAAGAAAAAGTTTTGTCAAAAACGTGAAACGGCGGCAAAAATAGGGCATTTATTACGCCTAGAGCAACGCACGCGTCAGACGGCGCAGACAAATGACAGATGGCTTTCAGGCGCGTCACAGACACGCTCCAATAAAGACAATACACGTGAAAAGAACGGTTAGATATGCATGATAGCTCATGCGCGTGGAAGAGTATGTTCGAAACCTTGTACTCCGAAGAGAATACGTCGGCTCGAAGAGGATTATCTCGGCTAAACGGTTTTTTTTTTAGCCATTACTCAGAAAAGGAATATCGAAATATCGGTATAGGTTCCATCACCTCAGAATGCAGAGGTAATAGAACCTAGGGGGCAGTTGTGGGGATATATTTTCTGAATACCAACACGTGGCATGGTGACGCCGACGTGTCAGCCGAGGTGCCACGTGTCTTGGTCATTATGCCGAGGTCATCTCGGCTAGGCCGAGGATGCCTCTCTTTTATAATATACTCAATCCAAGTCCTACTAGAAGTATGACTTCTATGTACTCCAATTCTGTGCTTACTTTGGACTCCTCAAGAGATAAAGATAAATTCCCTAGGACCACAATTTGTTTGATAATCGGGTATTTTTGTATCACAATTCTGATTTAGAGCACTAAATTTGAAACTCTAAAAAGACCACTAATGAGGTAGCAGTGTAAAGAAGAAAAAAAAGAGCCAAACTATCACATCAATGATGGGGTTCACATGATGCCACGTCATTAGTGGTGTATTAGTTGTGCTAAATTAGTGGTACGAAGCATTTTTCTTTTGCATCATGACAACGAGTCGGTTTTTTCATTTTCATTTTTATTATATATTTTTTAATTTAATAATCATGTATCCTGATAAAATCCAACTTTTCCTAATTGTAGGGGTTAATCAAATTAATGATAACAATCTATGAATTATAAAAAATAATAAAGGACTTACGTGTAGGTCCTAATAGATGGATTTATTATCTAATAAGTCTTATAATAATTAATGATGTTTTTTTTATCAAATATTATTAAAAAACGTCACTAATTGTTAATTTTAAATGACAATTTAAAAAAAATTATCACAAAAGTCATTATTTTTTAATTTTCATTGATAATTTGAAAAATTTGTTACAAAAAAGTTACTAATTGTTAGCTTTAATGACAATATATAAAAATCGTGACAACAAAAAGTCACTAATCGTCAATTATAACGACGTATGCAAAAAATAGTCAAAAAATTTATTTTTAGTGATAATTTTATTAAAACTTATTTATAATACAATTTGATAAGATTTAAATTTAACTATTAAACCTTATTGATAATTTACCCAATATCTATATAGTGATGGCCGCAAAAAAAATGTTGTAGGTGAAGCATCTTTATAAGCTACAATTGACTAGTCGGCATGATCAACAGTATGTGTGTGTGACAATATTTGATGCTTCAACTTCAACACCACCACCAACTCAAACGTAAATACTTTGAAAACGTCTGGTGCCAAATTTTCTTTTCTAGATAGCGTACGGTTACGTGGCTCATCACCATTGGGTGTCCTCTCTCTCACCTTCCCAATCCAGATAATATCCCATCCAACACAATACAACACAACACAAACCACCCTCTGTTTGACACACATTCATCCACACAAACTACCCAAGTGTGTGTTTTTGATCTACAACTCAAAACACACAATGACCTCTTGACCCTGTTTTTCTTTCTCTCTTCTCATCCAATTTCATGGCTCCAACTCTCTCCTCCAACTCATTCCTCCTAACCACCACACCCTCTTCAAGGCTAACCCCAAGGAACCCACGGCTCACTGTTTTAGCAGCCAAGAGTTCCGGGCCTGGACCCGGATCCTTCCTGCCTTTCCGGCTCGGAAAACAGGCTGCCGAAGAAAGCAGCCAAGAAGATGATAAACAGAATTCCAATCCATTTTCATTCAATTTTGGCAACGCGTCGGATATAAAGTCACTGATCCCAATTGTTGCTAACCCGGCTTCTTCGGGCTTGGCTTTTGGGAGCCCGAGACGCAAAGACCCTCGCACGGTGTTTGTCGCTGGAGCGACCGGGCAGGCTGGGATTCGCATTGCCCAAAAACTGTTGCGTGAAGGTTTTGTGGTGAGGGCAGGGGTGCCGGATCTTGGGGCTGCCCAGGAACTTGCTCTCATTGCTGCCACTTACAAGGTTAGCTACTATTTTAAATCAATCTGTTTACCAAATTTATCTATTTATTTATTTATTTCTTATAGATTTTGTGTTATTAATGTATTGTTTTTTTAGCATAAAGATCATAATTCTTTTTTTTGCACAAGATATTAGTTAGTATGTTAGTAGTTACACTCTATAAATTCGAACGTGAAATCTCACTCACCTTGGTACCTAAGTGCCCTCTCTATGCATGAGTATGCCAAATTGTTTAGGCTAAATTACACCGATTTCTCTTGATATTTAGAAAAAAAAAAGAAGTAAATGTTATAATTTTAACATAATTACATTAAACTGCTTTAAGACTTTGATTTATATAATATATATACATATTCAATCAAATTTGAAAACAAAATTAACTTCTTCGGGCTTGGCTTTTGGGAGCCCGAGACGCAAAGACCCTCGCACGGTGTTTGTCGCTGGAGCGACCGGGCAGGCTGGGATTCGCATTGCCCAATCACTGCTGCGTGAAGGTTTTGTGGTGAGGGCAGGGGTGCCGGATCTTGGGGCTGCTCAGGAACTTGCTCTCATTGCTGCCACTTACAAGGTTAGCTACTATTTTAAACCAATCTGTTTACCAAATTTATCTATTTATTTATTTTTTATATAGATTTTGTGTTGTTAATGTATTGTTTTTTTAGCATAAAGATCATAATTCTTTTTTTTCACACGATATTAGTTAGTATGTTAGTAGTTACGCTCCATAAATTCAAACATGAAATCTCACTCACCTTGGTACTTAAGTGCCCTCTCTATGCATGAGTATGCCAAATTGTTTAGGCTAAATTACACCGATTTCTCTTGATATTTAGAAAAAAAAAAGAAGTAAATGTTATAATTTTAACATAATTACATTAAACTGCTTTAAGACTTTGATTTATATAATATATATACATATTCAATCAAATTTGAAAACAAAATTAAAAAAGCGCTTACATCTTTGTACAAATTTTTCATTTAAAAAAATAAAATAAAATAATAGAAATTTTTTTTGTATATGAGTTAATGTGTACATTTTATTTTAGAATAAAATATTTATAAATATGTGGCGATATGCATGTATATACTAAATTTATTGGTTGGAAAATTAATTAAGATTTCAATTTTACATGGAAGTTTTTAGGATTACTACTCTATTCAATTAACAGAATCAGAAATGTTATATGTTATTGGATTTTTATTATTGTCAATCTTATTTTTATTAATAATTTGTTAGTTATATGAATCAAAGAATGATATTATCAATTCTATTACATGAAAATGCATACTTTATATTGTTTATTTTTATATTTTTATACTATTTATATTAGTTTCGATCTATTTAATCTTACTAAAAGAAAATCAATATAATTATACTAAAATTATAAGGTTTGTTATGTTTTTTCTAAACTTTAGAGAAGGTAAGTGTAATTGACCCAATTGTTTATCATGCATTTAGCAGAGATTCAAAGAATAGAAATAAATATGGTAAATTACTCTTTGTCCCTTTTATGTTTATTACCTTTTAACTTTGGTCTTTTAAGTTTTTTAAGTTTTTTTTTCTCACTTTGACCCTTCATATTTTAAGTTTTTTTCACTTTACTCTTAAAGTTAATTTCTGTTAAAATTTAGACAAAAAATGACATATTGTCAATTACGTGGTATAAAAATATTTATTATATATGACTTATACATTTAACATAAACTTAAATTCTAATATAATAATATATTTTTCATATTAAGTGACAGTTATTGCGACATTTTCTATATAATTTTGAACATAAATTAACTTTAAGAGTAAAGTGAAAAAAACTTGAAATATAAAGGGCCAAAATGAGGAAAAACAAACTTGTAGGGTCAAAGTAAGAAATTGACCAAATATAAGAGAGAAAAGTGTAACTTACCCAAATAAATATAAAAACAGAGAGGATAAATTATATTTATAATCTTTGTAGTTGATCCATATTTCACTTTAGTCTCTATTATTTTATTTTGAATAATTTAATCTCTACTTTTTTAAATCTAATTTTTATTTAGTCATCTTGTATAAATTAAAAGTTAAAATTAACGATTTTTGTACTCTCCTAGTATTTACACACACACACAAAAAAGAAAAAGAAAAAAAAAGAATAAGATAATATTTAAATTATAAAGATCAAATTGTTCAAATTAAAACGATTGACACTCAAGTCAATAGGTCAAAATTATGGGGATAAAAAGTGTAATTTATCCTTTAAAAAAAGGACTAACTAAATTTCTGTGATAGAAAAATTATTCAATGCTTCTAATCCGTCACGTGTTTGTTCTCCTTCATTAATTATCATACAAATACTCTCTCATATTCTTCAATTACCTAATACAAAATCATAGACATTACCTTCACCAATCACAACACCTTCAAGCACCGCATGACCGTACTATTGGGGCATCCAACACTATAATATATAAGAGTTTTAAAGATCAAATATTTTGATCTTTAAAAGTGAAAATTTTGTTTAAAAGATATTTAGAGATTAATTTCTATCGTCATGAGGATAGTTGTTGAAAGATAGTTTCGAAAAGTTAAAAACAAGACTTTTAGTGACAAAATTTTGAAAATATCACTAATAAATAGACTTTTACCGACAAAATAATTTGGTCTCAAAATATTTTATTTTTTGAGACAAAAATTTGGTCCCAAAAATATAATAGTTCATCACTAATGTTTAATTTACGTTGTTAAAACTATAATAACGACAATTTTCGTAACAAATATATTTGGTCCCTAAAAAAAAATTTATCCCTAAATTTTGGTCTTTAAAATCTTAATTTTTTGTAGTGCAATAACCACTCCCAGTGACAACTTCAAAAAAAATAAAAATAAAAATAAAAATAAAAAAATAAATAATTATTTAAAAGTTTATAATTATAATATGGTTAAATTACATTGACACCCCCGAGCTTTATGTTTATTACAGTTTTTCCCTTACCTTTTGAAAATTACATCCATTCCCTGAGATTTAAAATTTCATTACAGATTGTCTCATGAAGTTTAAAGTTTCATAACAGTTCCCCCCTCACCATAATCATCATCATATATAAAATTAAATTAATAGAGGGGTCAGTGTAATTTTCCAAATGTGAGAGAATGAACTGTAATAAACATAACTCTCAGGGGGTGTCAGTGTAATTTACTCTTATGATATTTATAAAAAAGTTTACTGATTTATAATTATTTTTACAAAAATTCACTCGAGGGCTGACTTTTTAACTTTTTTGGTTATTTTAGCCTAGGGCTAAAAAGTTTGGTTTGGAAAAGACTTTTGATTTTTTTGTGAGAGAAAAAATATAATGATTATGGGTTAGATTTGATATTTTGTCTTATTAAATGGTTGTTTGGGATAAACTAAATAAGTGCACTTTTTGAATTTTTATGAAATATGAGTTGGATATGGGTTAAGTTTGAAGTGATGTGATAGAGAAGTGATGTGACTTAAATAAAATGATGTGACTTAAATATCATAGTAACTTTTTAACTTTTTTAAGTTATGCCAAACTAAGCCTAGCCTAAGTTAAAATGTCTATTTTATTTTTTATAATTATTTTAGCCAAAAAAAAACCACAAATTCTTCTTTCCAAACATAGGCTTATTAATGTGAGAAAAAATTACAACAATGCTACAGACCACTAAATTTTTACCACTAACACCATCACTAATGATGTGGCAAGTAAAAAAAACAAAAAAAAACAAAAAACTAAGATACAAAACTCATGTGACAGTGAGTCACTGCCACGTCCTTAGTGCAACCACTAATTAGTGATCTGTATCATTTTTCTCAATAATGTTGCTACACTGATTCATCGTGCACCAACCGCATCACCACCGCAGATTATCTCGAAAGAAGAATCAAACCGCATCAACGCCGTCCAATCCGCCTTCGAAGATGCAGAGTCGATCGCAAAAGCAATCGGAAACGCCAGCAAGGTCGTCGTCACCATCGGCCCCGCAGAAAACGGTCCCACCGGCGAGGTCACCACATCGGACGCCGTACAAGTCATCCAGGCCGCCCAACTAGCCGGCGTGGGCCACGTGGCCATCATCTACGACGCGTCATTGATGGCCACCTCAACTTACAATGTCCTAGATGGGATCTCAACTTTCTTCAACAACCTCTTCTCAAGATCTCAACCGTTGACGATACCGGAGCTCCTGCAGAAAGCAGTCGAATTGGACGTCAGCTACACACTCATCAAGACACGGTTGACAGATGATTTCTCCCCGGAGAGTTCGTATAACGTCGTCGTATCAGCTGAAGGGAGTGCTGGTGCTGGTGCAATCGACTACAAAGTAATGTAAAGTATGCGATAATATTCTTTTTTTTTTTAATTAAAAAAAATTGTAGTTGTTTATGTTTTGTACTAATGTTTGGTGTTATTCTCGCAATTTCATATTATTTTATATAATTTTTTTTCCCCAGGTAGCCAAGTCGCAGATAGCATCCCTGGTGGCAAATGTTTTCTCCAACACGGCAGTGGCAGAAAATAAGGTAGGTAGTTACTTACGGCACGATAAACGAGTCCAGTGGAATCGAATATGAATGTTAAGCTGTTTAAATTAACTTTAAAATATGTTTAAATCTGATTTATCTACTAAATGAATCTATTTCAAACAATTTTTTAACAAATCAAGCTCAAACAGCAGCGGAGTCAGAAAATCAAAATAGAAAAGGTACTTAGGCCAAGTTTGGGAAGACTAAATAAGTGCACTTTTTGTCTTTTTGGACTAAAAAATTGAGATTGAAAATATGGATGTTTGGGTTAACTTTTTGACTTTTATGGAAAAATGTGTAATAAAAAATTGTAAAAATTGGTTTGTAGAGGAAAATTTGAATTGGGAATTGTGCAGCCGTAATTGTTGACTTTTGGTGAATAGTGTTAACTTTTTAACTTTTTGAGTAACTTTTTGACTTTTTGACTTATTTGGGACTTCCCAAACTTAGCCTTATTAATTATAATATTAAAAGTTTATAAAAATATTTCATGCAAGTTTTTATGACTGATTTCGAGAAACATAAAAAAATAATGTTATTTATAATTAATGTATCATGAATAATATAAAAAAATAGATATAAGTCTTAAAATAAATTATATAATAATAAATTATTTTTTTATACAAAATTTGATTAAAAATTCAATATAATGATAATAGCACGTCATCATCAGTATGTGATATCGCCAACTAATAGTAAATAAATATATAGAGAGTGAACCTCACATGTCAAATATAACTAACAATCTAATAAATTTCACATCTTTATGATGAGATTACTTATACTTGCATGTCAATAATAATGACATCACCGTTACATTCAAAACTTTTCATAGATAATATGATTTATAATAGTTTCTTCATTTTCAATCAAAATAATCATTATTGTTCTTATAATTTTTATGATAAATTACATTCATACCCCCTGAGGTTTGGGTTTAATACATATCACTCCTTGATGTTTGAAAAATTATACTAACCCTCCTATCATTGTAATTATTTAGACAAAATAAAAAAAAGAGTAAAGGAAAGGCGAAAAATAGAGAAAGTAAAGCAAAGCAAAATTATACTAACCCTCCTATCATTGTAATTATTTAGACAAAATGAAGATATTAAACTCATGCATTCTTTCTTTTTTTGCTTTGCTTTACTTTCTCTTTTTTTTTTTTTTTTAATGTAATTTTCTCTATTTTTCTACTAAGAGTTGTTACTTTTTATTGGGTTTGTAAAATGAAACTATTAACCACAAGGGTGTGAATGTAATTTTTAAAACGTCAAGGGGTGTGTAGTAATTGGATCAAACCTCAAGGGGTGTCAATGTAATTTATCCTAATTTTTAATAATATTTTTGTAATTTTTTTTATTTAAAATATTTTCTTTATATTTGCTTTAAAAAAAAAAAAAAGTCCAAAATCTTGGGGGTAGGGAGGCACGAGACCCCCTGGTCCTCACTTCCCTCTGCCACTAAGCTCAAATAATTTGAAATTTTATAGTACAAATAAACTTATGTTTGATTTAATAACTTAACAAGTTTTTAACGAAACAAATAAGAGTTGAGATCAAATAGTTTGGTTCGTTTAACCTCCACAGCTATTTAGATTTTAAAATAGATAATTTGTCATACTTTTTTCGTTCTCATCTTCTTCTTATTCATATATTTGTTTATTTGTTCAGTGGTGTTACATGCATCAATTAATATACTAATTAGTGTATTAACATATATTATAATATTGTTACTTCAAAATTATAGATTCTGGAAAATGTTATAATCTACCAAATTTTTTACCAAACCTCTCATATGAGTGTGAGACCTACACAAACTCTGGGTCTCACACCTATGTGTGAGATTTGGTAGAAAATTTAATAGATTATTTGAAATTTTTAACATAACTCATAGATTCTACCCATTACACAAATTACAAAGATTTAAAACCTTTAAAATTATATCACATTATCTTTTATGTTGTGTTTGGTTAGAAGATTTGAGGAAAAATGTGGAAAGGGAAAGGAAAAAAGTGTGTGAAACTAGGTGAAATATTGACATGTTTTATTTACATTTCACATACTTTTTCTATTTCTCTTTCTAAATTTCTCTCTAAATCTCCCAACCAAACACCGTGCGTGTAACTTTATTCTTATTTGTTTTTTTAAACATACAATAAATGGTTGTAAATGGGCGTGGATACTTTGTTCACTCTCATCCCAGTCCGTTTTTGGTGTTGGTTTGGGACCATTACGTTATAATTCCATCCAATCCAATTCAGTTATGATTGGCTAACTTAGGAAAAGTGAGACCCAAATTATTATTTGATTGGGAGACTTTGGAGTTTGATCTAAAAAATTTAACTAATTTTAAAATGTGTTTAAACTAAACCATTTACATTTAGATGAACATTTGGATTATTTTCCTTTTCAGGTTGTGGAAGTTTTTACCGATCCAGCAGCTCCATCAAAGCCTGTGGATGAACTATTCAGGTAATTGCAGTCTCATACTTATTTATTTATAATTTTTTTTATGGGAAGTCCTATATATATTTTGTACATATTAATGTTCCACCCGTATTATGTACGAGTTATATTTATAATTATTTGTATATATATAAATTGTAATTTTTAAATGTATATTTTTCTTTTTTTTTTACACAAAAAAATAAATATAACAAATGTAACATATTTTCAATCAATTATTTTATGTTTGTTATTCAAATTTAAAAATAATGTACATGCAAAAAAATAAAAACAAAAAGATAGTCAATACAATATTATACATTAAGTAAAAAAATGTGATTAGCAATTATGCTTACATAAATTTATTATAATTTTAATTTCAAATTAAAAAAAAAACTATTTTAAAAGCGTTTTATTTAGTTAGTACCGAATAGAATTTTCTTAGCAAAAAGGCAAGTTATACAATTTTGTTACAAATTTTCAAATATCTATTGTTAAACATTTTATTCTACTTGCTTGTTTGTTTGCTTACTTGCTTTGGAAGTTTTGATTTTTGATATTTGCTTCACATTTATCGTATTGTTTTATTTATTTATTTTTTCTTCTTATTTGATTTTCGCATGATACTTCTTTCATAATGCATCTCCAAGTGTATTAGTGAAAATATTATACACTTAAAATATATAAAATTACAATATATAGAAAAAAGTAAGTAATTGTCTAAAACTAAAACTACTTTAAGAAAAAATAAAAAATAAAAACAAAGATGAAATTGTTTGAAATATAAAATGGTTTATTTATTTATTTATTTTTGAAACATAAACAAAGAAAACTATATATAAAAAAAAGTACAAAAACAAAACATAAAATATAATACAAAAAATAAATGAATTATAAGATTTTCAAGAAATCTTGCTTGATTTTTACATGATACTTCTTTCATAGTGCATCTTCAAGTGTATTACTGAAAACATCATATATTTAAAATGCACATAATTATAATATATAGAAAAAAAGCAAGTAATTATCCAAAACTAAAACTACTTAAAAAAAAATAAAAAAATAAAAACAAAAATAAAATTATTTGAAATAGAAAATGATTTATTGATACAAGATAAAAAAAAAAAAAACTTTTAAAGAAAACAGGGAAAACTATATTAAAAAGAAAGTACATGAATCAAACATAAAATATAATACAAGAAATGATTTTCAAGAAGTGAAACTCATAAACAAATTTTGTAAAATCTTGTCTAAATCCCGAGAATGATATTGAAATAGTCTACACTTCTTGCATTAGGTCCATCTAATAGTTTTAATAAACACAAATGTAATAAATCTCATAACATAAAACACAAACAATTGTGAGACAAAGTATTTAAAAAAAATGAAAGAAACGTTTAATGACGATGTAAAAGCACACTTGACGTTTTAATTGGAGGTATAAACAGATAAATTACCATAGAAGGGGAAGACAACTTTTATTTTTCATCACAATAATTACATAACTCAATATATAATTTTAATGTTTCTTCATTTTCCAGACATCCAATAATCTATCAATATTAGGATGAATGTATGAACAAAAAAAGAAACATGTGAGAAGACAAAGAGACGTGATTTGAGATTTTTAAATTGCTGAATCTATTAATTAATAGTTATTAGGCTTTAATGGTCGGGTTTCTAATATTTGTTAGTCATTAAAACTGATTTATTTGGTTTTATCCATATTCACTTGATAATTTGCGAGTGGACATGTGTCAAGTTTTTACACAAACACTTAGTACATTTTTTGAGTATTATTAATGAAATGCACAGTGTAATTTTTTTTATATATTTTTTTTCCGCAATTGCAACATGTTATTTTTTAATAAAAATTTATATTTTTTATATATCTATTTTTAATATACAATTTTTTTTTAAAAGATTTTTTATAAAAATAATTTAACAATCACATCATTAACCATAATGTATGGAAGAAGTTGAAAATAAGACTTTTGGTGAATAGTGTTAACTTTTTAACTTTTTGAGTAACTTTTTGGCTTTTTGACTTTTTTGGAAGTACCCAAACTTGGCCTTAGTACATTTTTTGAGTATTATTAATGAAATGCACAGTGTAATTTTTTTTATATATTTTTTTTCCGCAATTGCAACATGTTATTTTTTAATAAAAATTTATATTTTTTATATATCTATTTTTAATATACAATTTTTTTTTAAAAGATTTTTTATAAAAATAATTTAACAATCACATCATTAACCATAATGTATGGAAGAAGTTGAAAAGAATGTTGTAATAAGTATGAGAGAAGTCAAAAAGGGTTATGGGTTGAGAGAAATCAATAAATGCTGAGATTTTTTTTTTAAATTAAAAAATTATAATTAAGATATTAGAACTCCTACAAGACTTGTGAGTTAGAAATCTCATTTTCTTTATATAATTCGTGTAGATAGATAAAGAAAGAAATATATATATATATATATATAGATGAGGAAGGAGGGGCCTATTGTGTATGTAGTTGGGAAAATATAGTCTCAATTGTGTGTGTATTTATTACCTTTTAGTGCTATTCCTGAGGATGGAAGAAGAAAAGCCTATGCAGAAGCCCTTGCGAAGGCAAAAGCCGAGGAAGAAGCTAGAAAAGCAACCGAGAAAGCTCTTGAAGCAGCTGCGGCATCAAAGAAGCTGGAAAAAGAAGTGAAAAAGCTCGAACAGCAAGAAGCTCGGGCTACTACGCTTGCGGAAGAGGCAGAAGCAAAAGCAGCAGCTGCAGGAGCTTCTGTGGAAGGCCTCTTGGGCAAAGCAAAAGAGATTGGTTCGGGACTTTCTTGGGAAAAATTCAGCTCGCAGCTTAAAACAGCAGTTCAAAATCCAGATGAGAAACTGAAAGTTCGGATTGCCACTATAAGGGGACAAGCCAAGGCTCGGAATCTGCCAGCCAAGAAAGCAGTCGTCAAACAACCGACTCCAAGATTTCCCGGTTTGAAACCAAAGGCTCCTCCAAAGCCAAAAGATAAAGAAACAGAGTCCAAGAAAGAAACAAGGAAGGTCTTTGGCGGGCTGTTTCAGCAAGAAACTTTCTATATTGATGAATGAAGATTGAGAATCGGTTTTTAATCTATGATTAATCTCTATGGATGTTTGAGGGGTAAATTATTTTGAGTCTCCGCAAGATATTATCTACATTCTTGCATACTGGTATTGAGGCTATCGAATTATTTTTTTCTAATGAAAGTGTATCATCTCCTGAGCAATTTGGAATTTTATTATTGCTTTGTTTGACTTGGTGTGAGTGCAACCGGGTTCTCTGTTGGGAGTTTATAGAGTTGGGGTGGGGCTAGGGTGAGGAAGAGGCGCTGGAAGGCTTGGATGCTTTCTTCCCATTGTTTGCTTTGGTTAGTTTGGTGGAAATTGGAATAGGCTAGTGTTTCAGGATGAGTCTCGTTTTGTTTCATGGTTATAGAATAGTTTGTTGTTGGTGTGGCATAGTTGGGTTACGGGTACCGTTGATCCAAATGTTTTGATTTTTGTCGATTTTGTGAAGGATTTGATTAGTTAGTTTTGTTTAGTCCTTTTGTAAGTCTCATTTCTGTATTTTTTGCATCGTTTTGATGCTCTTTAATAAACTTGGATTATTTATCTAAAAAAAAAAATTGATATAAAATCTAGGCTTACCAAAGTTCTAGTGCATCAAGTACTTTTTGGAGTCACTAATCTTCAGACAAGAATGATGTTAGATCAACTTGTTAAAAGCCTAGGTTAATAGACTCTGCTCGGCTTTGATACCTCCAGACCCAAGTAATCTCAACTCTCCCTCACTATTGTGTCCTACATTTTGTGAAAATTGCCTTGTAGGTGTGTCCATGTTATATCTATGTCATGTTGCGTGCTCATGTCTATGCTAGTAAGCATAAAATTCAACTTCTAAAGCCAAATCAGTAGTTGGAATCTGTGTAGAAAATGGCAAACATAAACAATCTTTTAGCATAAATCGTTTTCCCTGTTAAGTTTAGGCATAACCTAAATAAAACTTAGGGGTGGGGATTAGCATGCTCCTTAGAGGCACAGGTAATCATCTATAATTGTTTTGTTCTGCATGTCATCCACTACTCGTCAAGGACACTACTAATGTCGTAGCTGTAAGTTGCAGTTCTACCAAAAACTCGACAGTACAAAAATGGAAATCAAACACGATTATGAAAAATTGATCAGCTCAATATTTTCAACTAATCTATAACAACTTTTAGCTTTGTTTGACCGGGGGGAGGGGTTGGTTTTACATTATAGTTTAATCAAGATTTGCTTGACCAAGTAAAAGCAAATTAGAACATATTTCCCACGCGATATAATAATCCTCTCAAACCAATTAGAAGTAAATGGGTATAGAGATTAATTGAACCACAAAGAAAATACAAATCAATCTAGGAATTCACTTAGATAATGCAACATTGAACCTCCACATTCCATGTACCTGAAGGACGGGGACAAAAACTAAATGGTAGGTTTGAATTTTCTAAGTCAAACACTGGTTCTTTTTCTATCTCTCTTTCCATTGTTATCTGATATACGAGGATGTTAAGCGAAGGAACCACCGTCTCTATACGGGTAAACAGAAAGTTAAAACGTTTAGTCATTCCGGTTGTTTTGTATAGGAGGAGAGTGTACCCTTGTTTGGTGAAAAATCCTTTGCAACTCATCTTCCATCTCTTGCAAAACAATAGGCTTGCGAATAACACCATGAAATCCATACTGAACACACCTATCCCAGATATCACTGTCAGACCTTGATGTCAACACAACTATTCGAAGGCAGCTTTCCAATCTTAATTTTCTTATCTGAGCAATCACTTCACTACCCTCTTCCTCAAAAATGTCTAGGTCTATTAGTAGTAGATGGTAGTAGTTCTTGCTTGAACGAAGCGTTTCCAAGCATTGGCCCCAAGACGACACAGTTGTTAGATGACATCCCATGTTTTCTAAATGCTTCCTGGTAGCATATTGGTTGAAACCATCACTATCTGCAAGGCTTGTTTTCATTCCTTTCAAAAGGCACCGCACAGTCTCAGGGTCCATAAGCCTCGGTTGAACAAGACCTCCATGTGAATGTCGAATGGGTAATCTGATTGTCAATTTCAAGGTTCTACTTAGGTCTTTTGAGTTGTGGCCAATTGATGCACTCCCATGCATGAGCTGCATATGCACAAACCAAAAGTTCAACAATAGTAAGCTTACAACACCAGATTTCGATAACATAGACATCTAAATTTTCCGAGCCTCCATAGACACTGAATCAAGTTAATCCTGTATATGTATCTATATACAATAAACACTAGAATGCAACAATACATTCATATCAGATACATGTAAAAACCAAAGTTTGATATTTATCCATAGTTTAAAATCTCTATAATTAACACACAAATTTACCTATGCAGAGACAAAGCAGCCAGTGCTCACCTTGGCCATTTTTTCACAAACGCTGAAACCATTCCAAGGATTTCTGTCTTCATATCTGTTGTTCTCGAAATTCTTTCGCATTTGCAACAAACTCGGGTAGTTTTTTCCCGAGTAAACTCCACGGATTTCAAATTTCAAGAGAACCAATCCCTTGCATACATATTGCTTCCACTCCTGAGAACCATCTTCTACAACTACAGATACAAAAACAGTGCCACATTCTTGAAAACCCAAAATCTTAACAACCATCAATAAAATGGCCTGAATGATCCTCATTTCATCCCCAATCACCTGTCCTGACACCTTCCCGCAAACCTGAATTTCAAAATTCAGGCCTCTGATATCACACATTAACTTCCCAACGCTTGCAACCTCCTTCAACATCGAATTGAGGCTAAAAGCATGAGACTTCAACTCTATCCTACTGCAACCCAAACCCGAATCACCAGTCGCATCTTCAATCAAACCAGACAACAGTAGACCCACCTTTGCCATAGTATCAACTATCTTCCTCTGTTCTTCAGACACCCAATTCTCTATCTGAAGAACTGACATAATCGCGGCGATTGATTGGCTTGGCCTGATCATTTCTCGACTCATCACGGCCCAAAACGAACACATTGCTTCATTAGCATTCATGGCCAGTTCTTTAGACCTGTGTAAAGCAATGTTCTGCTCCATAAGCTTCTCTCTGATAAGCAATGACTCTTCGATGATTGCAGCGTGTGACAACGCCACGGCCACCTGATCAGCCACTCCTTCCACAATTTCGAGCTCCGCGGAGCTCCAAATTCTATCTCCTTCCTCCGGCAAGACCAAAACCAGAATCCCATAACACGGCTCCACCGCCGGCAGCCTAATCGCCACCCCCGGCGCCACCCCGTTTCCCAGCTTCGAATTCAGCTTTAAAAATCCGACCCCCTTTCGCGCCAAAATCTCAGCCATTTCTGGGTCATCAATAGGAACGCACAGAGGCTCGTAAATCGTCCTTCTCGACTCGTGACTCAGTACCATCGCCGTGTTCGACTCATCAGGCAACCAAATGGCACAGTTGTCCAACGAGAAAGCCTTGGACAACTCAGCCACACAGGTTTCCAAAACGGTGTGACGATCCAGCGATTTACGAATTTCCCGACTCAGCATGAGGGCGAGCCAACTGGCCTCCGCCTGCTTCCTCATCAACCCAATCTCGCGACCCACCTCTCTGGTCTTCGTCACCAACAGACCCTGTCTGACCATGACTCCCATCATGCGAGGTATGAGCTTTGCTAGCTCGAACGAGGTGGCGCAAGATAGCAAAGCAGTGAAGATTTTAAACAGGGTTAAAATGAACAAGAGTTGGAACGAGTGGCGTGAGTGAGTGAAAGCAGAGACGAAGTGGGTTACCCCAGAGAGGACCATGAAGGCGGCGAACTGGGTCATGAATTTGCGGTGAGGGAAGAGAGAAGAGGAGAAGGAGGAGGAGGAGGAGAGGAAGAAGAGGAATTCGAGGGGAATGGAGAAGAAGGAGAGGGAGGTGAGGAGTTCGCTGAGTTTCTGGCAATGGTTGATGTCTTGGAGGGTCCAGAAGGAGACAGTGTTGGGGAGGAAAAAGACGGCGTCGTTTTCGTCGCAGGAGGAAAAAGAAAGAGAAGAAGAAGACATGGTGGTGGGTGATGAGAAGGGTATTGGGAGGGACTGAGGAGAAGTTGGGGCAGAGGGAGGGGGGAAGTAGACATTTCTAGAGAGAGAGAGAGAGAGACAGGAAATGCAGGAGTAAAGAGGTGAATGGATGGGTTCAATGAATGGGGAAGAGAGAGAGAGGGAAGGGAGGTTGAACTGAAACTTCTTTTATGCCTAACTGTTAGAAGAAAGCTGTGTATCGCAGTCTGCGTTTAGGCGTTTTTTTAGGACTTTATTAAGAATTTGGGATTAAAACCCAGTTAATTAATGAGGTTCGGGTTGGGATTGTTTTTATTTTATTTTGGTTCATGAATTTCGCAGAGGTTTGGAAAGAAAAAAAAAGAAAGAGGAAAGAAAAATGGATGTGACATATCATTTATATTTTTCATTTATCGTTCTAAATCGATATCCAAATTTATGAAGTAAACACACCTGCTTTATGATTTTTTTAAGGAGAGATGAAAATAATTAATTTCTTTTATATTCATATTTTAACATGAGATAACTTGAGTGTTCATAGGGCTTATTACGATTCCTCATTCAATAATTCGAACTGTTTATTTTATAAGATACTCAAATGTATATCATTCATGAAAAAAATTAAATCGATTTGATAATCGTAACTTTTGCTTTTATAATGTTTGTCTCTATAAAAATAAAAGATATATTTTCAAAAATATATTTGTTATCCTTTTTTTTGAGATAAATACGATAAAATAAAAATATTACAATTATTTGATTAAACTAATTTTTTTATTATAAAAATGATATATATTAAGAGTTTTACAAAATAAATAATTTGAATCATTAAAACAAAATTCATGATAAACCCCACAAGCTCTTTAAATTTTCACAAGTTATAATGTAAATTTGGGAGAAATTCAACTTGTATTTTTTTTTTTATTCAGTTTAGAAATGAAAATTTTAATTGCATACAAAAACGAGAAATACTGATATCTTACTTCTGTTTGTTTCTTACTTGAATTTTCTATTTGTAAATAGTTTAGGTTTGATAACTATTTCGTTTTTAGATAAAAATTTTAAAAATTGTTATAAAAATTTATTTAATAATTTTTTTGGTTTATAAATGGTCGTCTTAGTCAGTAAATTTGAGAAAAAAAAGCAAATTTAAAAAATGAGTTTACGTTGATTTTTAAACATAAATTTAAAAATTTGACCAACAATTTTTTTTTTCAAATAATTTTTTTAATTAATTTTTTTTCCAATTATAATGTGTATGATTCTATTATCATAAATAATAAATATAAATATTTTAGGCCTGAATAAACATATTTTTTAGTTTAAGTTTTAAAAAATTTTCAAACATTTTCATAATACCTACCATTACTCTTCAAACCAAATGTGTTTATAGTTTAGAGTAATGCTATGAATTATGAAAATGATTATAAACTATTCTTGACTTTTAGATTATACGTATAATAAAATACCACACACTAATCAACGGATAAAAAATCTTCATAATACATTTCATGATTTGTTTTTTATGATTCCTAATATTATTCTATAATTTATGTTTTTCTAAAAATAAACAAAAACTAGTTTAACGCTACCTTATGCATTTATGAGGGTAATATGATCTTTTCAAATTAATATAAAAGTTTCTTAATTTTTAAAGGTATATTCCATGCCATGGACATTTTGATTTCTTTGACTTTTTAATTATTGTAATAAAAAAGCCAACATCCCTGGGCTGAGTTACAAAATAATTTATTAATTAAAAATAAACTTACAGAAGGTCAATGTTAAAAAAAAAGGTTTGTTTGTTTAATACAATTTTAAAATTTTAAAATTTTTTATAATTATTTTTTAAAGTGATTGAAGTAGATTCTTTGAAGGAAAAAAAATGAATTTATCAAATAAATTAAAGCCTTTTTCACAAAATAAATTTTTTAGTACCGTAAGACGAAGCTAGATAGTTTTAAAATAAAAAAATTAGCCTCTTAGCTTGGACAAATGAAGCCCAAGTTGGCATTAAGCCTTTGTCAAATTACATGATTTATTTGACAGTAGTGTTATGTAAATAAAAAACTCATACAAAATTTTAATTTAGAAGTATGTGGCAATTCTAAGTTCTCTCATTTTAAATTAAAAATCCATCAAAATGGTTTTCTTTTTCAAAATATCAATGTCACGTCCTTTTTTTAAATAAATTTTGTATATTTAAAAAAAAAATTCATTTTCCTTTATGTGATGGACGACAAAAAGTGTTCACCTAAATTTATTTGCAGTCTTTTGATATTTAACGATATTATTAAGTTAGTATAACTATTATATTCAATATTTATTCCTACATCTCATATATTGTAAGGAATGTGTTGGAAATTAGGCCGAGTATTGGACCCGAATTTGGGCATCTATGTGGCATGACTCATAACCAATTAAATTATCCATTTAAGTTTGAATTTGAATTTGAATTTGAATTTGAATTTGAATTTGAATTATTTAAATAACCCACAATCAATATCTATATTTACCATATCTTATCAAGAGATATGGATAGATGCATAGATGGAGAGATATATATTGATTGTTATATATTTGATACATCTGAATGATATAGAATATCTTATACGTTATGTGTTTTTACCCATAACATTTTTCCCAGACTCTCTCTCTAACTCTCTCCCATATGAAAAACAATTAAGCCTTTGTACTGTGACTAGTGTGGGTGATACTTATACTATAGTATCACTCCACTGTTGGGAGTTCGTTGTTTGCATTTTTGAAGCACGTGATTTACCCACAGATTCTTCGCTTTAAGTTCTATCACCTAAGGTATGATCTGAAATTTTTACCCACTGCGTTATACTTGATTGACATTGGTATCATAGCCTTAATGGGTGTTTTCGTGCTTATTTTTATGCATTAAAATAGGTGTATAATTTTATATAAATATATATACGATATATGCATGAAAATTAATAATTTTTCAAACTATCTCTGATCGACCTGAAATTTATATATATTGTAGTATATTTAATGTAGAACATATCTGCAAAGTTTCATGAAAATCCAATGGTTAGATTTCAAGAAAAATGGAGACCCATTTTAAAATTTTTTTTTTTCCCGAAACTTTATATGCATGATGGTTTTACATGCTTTAATTTCAGCCTACAAATCTTATATACTTAGAATCCTTGTTTCGAGACCTTCGAAACCATATATTATTTGTTAGATTTGGATTTACGGTTAATGAGATACATCAAACCCTAATTTGGGTTCGTTTTGATTTTTTGATGGCTTAAAGAAGAAGATGAAGTGCAGGATTTCTGCACTTCCATTCTTATTAGAGAGAGAGTGTAATACACCTCATCTTTTATGTTCATTAAATGTCATTTTTGAGACCATAAATGCTTTTATTTTGGAAAATGGAGTCCGGAAGTACCAAAATTGGACCAGAAAACACCTCGGAAGGTGGCGCATGAGCCGCACGTGCCAGATGACGCCATCAGCGGTGGCCACGGGTTGCTACGAGTCAGCACGTGCCAGGCGCACTTCCCACACGCTGCCACGCGCCACCACACGCACGCTGTCCGTATCATCCACGCCCGCGGCTTGCGCCCTTCCACGCGTGCGTTAAGCCGCGCTGCTTCGAGCCGCGCGTCGTGCGTTGCGCTGTGCGCCAAGTCGAGATGCGCCACGTTGAGCTGCCTTGCTCCAAGTCGTGTTGGGTTGAGCGGCGCTGAGCCGTTTTTTTTTTTTCGTGCTGGCTTGGCTCTAAGGCTCTATTTTTATTTTTTTTTAAATCCAGAATCACGTTAAATGGTCATAAATAATTTGTTATAGATTTGTTTTAAGCATGGTAGGTACTATTGGTTTCAGAATTAAATTTTTTATTTTTTGTAAAATTTTCAAAATTTTATGAAAATAAAAAATATTTTTTTTGAGATAAAAATTAATTATTTCTGCTTTAAATTCCTTCTGGTGTTGCATGACCAAATTTCTAGGGCTGAAATTTTTACAGTAGACTACTGTAATGGTTTATTATTTACTGGTATGATTGTTGCATTTTCCCATATTCTGAAATATTTATTTCTGATTTTATGTGTATTTATTAATTATTTAAAATTCCAGAAAATTCTAGAAAAATTTCAAAAAGTGATATACTTTCTGTTATGACATAATCTGAATATTAAACACAACACATTGTTATTTTTTGCCTAGAGTTTCTAATATGCTGTAATTAGAATAGCATGATTAATTATTTTTTATTTAAATTCCATTATTAAATGTAACATAGCATGAGCTGATTGTGAGTCTACATTAAAATGCTATTGTATGGAATTAGAAAATTTTATCATGCTTTTAGACATGTCATAGTCAATGGGAGGTTATTCGGTTGAGAGAAATCTTTATAGATTTACTCTCGAAAACTAATATTTTACGCATGAATTAAATTAATTTTTTGGATAATTGTCACCTGTGGCGCAAGAGATGATTACGAGCATAATAGATTTTCGTTCTTGCGACTTGTGTAATATTGTCACTATTTAATTTGGATTTTTAGCGGCAAAATTATATTATGCTAATCAAATTAATCCCAACGCGAATTTCTCTCTAAATTGATTTAGTTTATGGAAATTAATTTGGTTGACCTAGACTTAGTAGAGATGTTCAAATGTGAACAATGTAATCTTTTTCTTTAGATGAGCAAAAGTCTTGGAGACTTTAGGTCAGACCTTAATTAAGCCAAAGTAAGGAAACATGACTCAAAGTCGCCATGATTTTGTTGCCTTGTTTGGCAATAAAAATTGATGTGTGCGCTATGGTTAGCGGCACGCTACACAGTTTTGATTTGCGAGTTTTGGAGTTGTGAAATTAGTAAGCCCTCAATAGATCTGTATATGATCTTGATTATTGAGCTACGTGGATTGACTTTGTAATTTGACTTGTAATGGTGTTGCATCATTGGATGAAGTAACATTCAAGAGTCACGTCATCTAAAAAATACGAGCTTAAATGAGTTAGTCATTAAGTGTAAGACGAGTAGCCAGTATGAGCAGTGTTTTGCTCTCCACCCAACTAATCAGAGTGAATGGAGCAAAATTTCACGCACTATAATAGTGTGCATTATCACTTGAAGTTAAAAGATTAGCGCTTAGTAGCAGCAAAATCTATTAACACTAAGTGAAAAGATTAGCGCCAAGTGGCTGCAACATCTATTAGCATTGCCAACTTGTCTAAGTCTGGACACTTACGCTATGTTTGGATTGAGTGATTTGGAGAGCAAAGAAAAGAAATGGAGAGATATATATTTCTGTTACTTGTTTAGATAACCTAAGTGGAGAGAAATGGAAAGAAATGGAGAGA